GAAGTCCTCTTCAGCCATTTCACCGCCAAACATAGAAAACCACATGCTGGAGTCCTAACGACGCCTTGGCCTTTGAACGGCACTTCAACAACAAACTCTCCCCTACCAGCATGTAGTTTCAAACGTGTCCATCATGTCCATATATGTGTGTTTATAACACTGTAGTGTTTATTAGGAAGCATCCCTAGCCGTGACTTCATCAGCTCTTTCTATTGGTCACTTTAACTGCACCTGTTCGCCAATCACACGCTTCGGTCGGTGTGCTCCAAGATGGCGGCTTCCAGTATTCCTTGTGACATATCATCGCACTTGAAAACTACATTTCTGTATCTCCCGACCGTTTATGTTTATGAGGAGGAAGACTAGAAGGAGACAAGTGGGACTGGGTTGTCACCAGTGAAACGCGGAAACGGTTTCCCCATGGTTTGTTCAGGCGAGGCTCCGGTGACGGTGTCGGCCTGAAGGGGGCTGTGTTATCCGAGTATGGCCACCGACAAAAGGATTAATTTTTGGAGGAGAAACCCAAAGGTTCCCGGAAGGTGGGTGTTCGTAATCCTCTCTCTCCCCTCCCTCCCTCCCTTTTCTCCCTCACAACGAAGTGAATAGTAGCTTCAAAGTGAGTTCTTTAGCTGTCTTTATCATAAAATCTTACCGTAAATACTGCAAGAAAAATGGTCACTAGTTGACCCTGTTGTGGTTGTGAGTTTTAACACACTCGCCTTAGGTTTCTCAGGCCTTTCTTGTTTGAGCCTATGTGAGCTGGGACCATCTTTTTCTTCTCTGCTGTTTCTAACTGTTGAGGTGTCAGCTGTCACATCGTCCGCCATATGCTTCACCAGTCTGTGCTGACAGATAGTGACAGTATGAAGTAGCTACTGAGAGAGAGGTGACAGTGAAGGAGACTGCTGTCGTGATGAGGAGCATTATAGTGATCTTAGATTTCTTCTTTTATAATCTCACAGTGGTTTTTTATACGAGTCATAAAAACAGAAGATAAGTGAAATACATCCTCTTTTTGTGGCTAAGATGACCAGCAACTCACCCACAGCACGCTGTTTGTATTTGATTCATAGCTTGCATTTGCTTTACAGGGGAAACAGGAAGGATGCTTGCAGAAGCTATATGGTGAGTTATGGAAGAAATAAAGGAATAATAATATTTTGTTCCTGAAGTCGCAGGAAGCATTCTAATTTAGGCCTGAGCACTAGGCTAGTCCTGACCCCGTTTGGTTCCTCTCAAGTACATTTAAGTCACCATGAAAGTAACCATCTGTAAATAAGTGCAAGGAGAACCCCATAAGATTTTGCAGATACTGTTGCTTAGAAGATATTTCCATAACTCTCAGATACTCTTCCAAACATCTAGATGAATAAATATTTCATCCTCTGCACAACAAAAAAGATACTTAACTGACTTCTCGGATGGCGACTGTTTTCTAATACATATTTCCTTGTTATTTTTAAAACTCTCTAAGTGCCATTTGAAAAGTCCGGCAGACAGTCAAATGTTGTTTAAAATATTGTAGTTCTGAGAAACAGATGTTTACCACTGTAACTGAATTGTATTATATGGCACAGACAGGCTAGTTTAGGCTAGTCCCAGCCTGTAGTGCTGGCTCAATAGGCTTCAGGTTAATGGCTTATAATGGGAAACGAGGACCTGCTGATATTCTTCCACTCATTTCTTTCATTCTCCTCAATCGGCACACTTGTCGAAAATGAAAACTGTTCATTGATAAAGCATGGCCTGTTGCTTATGTGTTTGCATTTATAATGTCTCTTCATGCCTGTGAGAATAAGGAGAGAGGGCGGGGGACTGTGTTTTAGAAATCTGAGAAGAGAGGATCTCTAAGGAGAGGGCGTTGTTGCTTTTGTCTCACACACTGGTCTTTCTCAGACTCTGGTGGATGGAAGGTTGGAAACCAAAACACACACATTTGAACAGGGAAGTGAGAAGCTAGTCTTGCCGCCTGTCCTTGAGCTGCTCCTGACAAAACAAGTATGATCATGGTAAACAAGAGACTCTGGCAGTGCCAGATGATCAACAGGGCTGGTCTCAGCCACCAGGCTTATTGTCAGTTTATTCATGCAAATGTCATAGGTTGATGTTTTTCAGCCTCAGGTATGCAAAGTGACAGTTTAACAACATTTTTCTTGCTTTATGATATTCACACAAAAGCCTGTCAGTGACTTTAAATGAAGCCCTTCATGAGTGAAATTTCAGACACACTTGGACAAACAGCGATGGTAGCTTTAGTGTTAGATGACCACAGTGCTGAAAAAAAGAGTAGTCATTAGAAAATTCCTTTGTCCACAATCAAAGAGCACTCTTCTCCTGTAACTTTGACCAAAAGCTGCCTTCTAGTGACAGTCACTCAGGTACACCTAATGTTTTTTGAAGGTAGATTATTTATTTACAAGACTGTGACTAATATGTGACTCTTGCTGTTAATGCAGACACAGATATGCATATGCGTCACAATTTCCACGCTGTGTGATTACAGCCGGCCGCTGACCTTTGAGCATGCATTTGAGTGTGGTAGAGGAAACGGCTACCCTTGACTTTCTTTGAAGGAAAAGAGATAACAAAAGAAGCATTGTTGTTATTTGTGGGTCTGGTCCAGACTCTTCACCGCATCTGCTTTGAGTCCCCAGAGAGTTGGAAAGAGGCTGAGCATTAAGATTCTCACATCCGCTGAACATAATGCCCACCACAGGGTGGTGACGAACACGGGGGGCTGTGCAAGCTGTCCACTAGTTTTGTTCAATACACACTGAAAGCAGCAAAGTCTAAATAAGACAGGACTAGGGTTATTTAATAGGAGGGTGGAACTGAACTGTCATCCTGTTAAAGGAAGGCAGAATGTGAGGCTGTATTTGCTGACTCTGTGCTTCACAGAAGGGTTTCTACAAAATTCTACAAAAACATTGGCACATAATGGAGACAGATCCCACATTAAAACACATTTTCTGGGTTCCCCAAAAACCGGTCTTTAAATGGTCCAGCGGTCTCGGCGATCTTGTGTTAAAGCTGATGTGTCCGTCCTCGGATATGATCAGTTTCCCAGCAGGAAACCACAGATGTGTCTCCTTCATGTCAGACCTAGTCTGCTTACAGATTTTGTGTCTATTCATGTATAATTTTGTATTGTATACATTTATTCTCATTTAAAAAATATGTACTGCCCACCCACATCATTTGTTTCTGATCTTGTCTTGGCGGTGTGCAGACACATAAAAGACTTCTTTATTTTGTATGCTGGTTTTGTGCTAACATGTACACAGGTGGGGTTGGAGATGCACACTATCCATCTCCTTAGCTTGTAATAACATTGTGCATACAGTATGCCAGCCACATTTCCAACCCAGTGCATGGGCCAAAGTGTCACTCCCAGCTGTGGTGCTTTCTCTTCTGTGAGCCCTCGCTGTTTGATGAGTAATCAACTGATTTTAAAGGAACTGAGCAATTTACTGCAGCTGCACAGGGCGGGAAGATGCACATAAAAAGAGCAACATGTATAAGGACAGGAAATGTGTGTTCCAACTCTCCTCTGAACAGTAATTTCTGAGTAGATCTTCTCGAAAGTCAATCTTTGACTATTGGCGCCAGCTAGGTCAGAGTCTGGGAAGCTGCATGTGTTATTCTGCACAGCAGTGACTGCGTTTTACATCATCTTCTACAGTGTACAACCAGTTTATGGAGCACAGCATCCACCCCTCGACCCACGATTGCGACGCACGTAAGTGTTCCCCACAACTGGATTGTTTGGCATCACGGCGTCCACACTGATGCATTCTGTGTTGACCACTCCCATTTTCAGCCTTGTTTTTGCAGCCAATTGTTTTATGATTTGAGTATGTGAATGTGTGTGTTGCATGCACCAGTACTGTACAAGTGTGACCCATTTAAGAGACTTTCAGTGGGTTATTGCCCATTTGGTTGAATTTGCAGACATGTTCTTTGTTCCTTTTGGTGATATCATCTCATAAGTTCAGTGTATATCATCTACTTTAGCTGCCATCAGTGCAACCCTTACCTGCTTTAATTTTCAGTCTTTCTTTCTCCTTTTCTGTTTGTTTAACATCTTGATCTGTCTGTCTGCAGGTATCACAAAGACACAAAGCCCAAGGTCAACAATCTTAAGTCTAAAAAGGCTTCTAGCTTCCATGAGTTCGCCCGCAGCACCAATGATGCTTGGGACATCGACGATGCTGAGGATGAGGATTTCCTAGGGACCCCTGCCCCAGCTTCATCAAGCCTACACTCGACGTCCAAACAGAACCAGGTGGCTGCAAGACATTATTTTAATCACTGAGCGTTTATGGGCATTGAGCTGATTTGGAGGGAAATGAGATATTTATATTTTTCCTTTGGCCTCTCAGCAACAGCAGCAGCATCAGGTTGGTGACACAGAAAACAGGATGCCACACAGTCTGGCACCTCTTACGACAGAAAGACTCCAGGATGTTCAGGAGGAAGAGAGGGACTGCAGGCACATCAACGGCAAGGTTGTCAAGTCTAATAGTGAGGCCCACCTCAGCTCATCCTCAGGTATGTGGCTAACATGCTGCAGAAATGCATTATGCATTAAGAACCACTGAGCAGCTTATCAGGTGATTCATAGTGAAGGTAATTACAGGCTTTGTCAGGAGGGACCTCGCACTGCAGTCTAGGCTACTGGGATTATGTCCAGCCTTCACCATGTCCCTGACAGCACAATGTTCAGTCCTGACAGTATTCCTCTAAATTCTCCTACCCACTTGTGCACATTTTCAGATGAGAGACAGGTCAAACTAACAATGAGAACATGAATACTGTAGTAGTGTGTGTGACAGTTTATCTTATCACAGTTAAGATGTTTAAACAGTCTGTATGAGAACCACAGACAAATCACAAATGAATAATACTGTGTATCCTGAGCCTCCAGCACCTGTACTGCTGGGCAACAGTACATGACTGTTTGTACTAGGCAGTTCCCATCTGCAGCTGTGAAATTGGGTGATTATGATGAAGGATGTTGCTAAAAGCATCACCATTAAGATACAAATATGACACTGGTGCATGGGCTGCAAGCATGAAGGAACATTTTCATATTCTTGATGATGCAAAAATATAAATGGCTGTGTTGCCTCTGCACTGTGGCCGTTCATGAAGTTAACTGAGAAGGGTCCAGCTGCGGTGTGGAGACCTCCTCAAGTTAGGCACCCTCATGTTAAGTCACTTACAGTGCCTTGCGAAAGTATTCGGCCCCCTTGAACTTTGCGACCTTTTGCCACATTTCAGGCTTCAAACATAAAGATATCAAACTGTAATTTTTTGTGAAGAATCAACAACAAGTGGGACACAATCATGAAGTGGAACGAAATTTATTGGATATTTCAAACTTTTTTAACAAATAAAAAACTGAAAAATTGGGCGTGCAAAATTATTCAGCCCCTTTACTTTTAGTGCAGCAAACTCTCTCCAGAAGTTCAGTGAGGATCTCTGAATGATCCAATGTTGACCTAAATGACTAATGATGATAAATAGAATCCACCTGTGTGGAATCAAGTCTCCATATAAATGCACCTGCACTGTGATAGTCTCAGAGCTCCGTTTAAAGCGCAGAGAGCATCATGAAGAACAAGGAACACACCAGGCAGGTCCAAGATACTGTTGTGGAGAAGTTTAAAGCCGGATTTGGATACAAAAAGATTTCCCAAGCTAAACATCCCAAGGAGCACTGTGCAAGCGATAATATTGAAATGAAAGGAGTATCAGACCACTGCAAATCTACCAAGACCTGACCGTCCCTCTAAACTTTCAGCTCATACAAGGAGAAGACTGATCAGAGATGCAGCCAAGAGGCCCCCACCATACATCACTCAGGTTGTCCCTATGGACCAATTAGAGGATGAGACATCGTACCAGAAACACTGCCAAAAACAGAAGAAGGAAGAAGAAGAATAGCTACCATTACCTCATTAGCCTGGAGGACCATGACATCGATGTTTCTAGTTTTTTGTTGTTGTTTTTTTTTTTGTTTGTTTTTTTAACTTTAGTTGCACAATCATAGATACAACAGGTTTAGCATTACAGTCATGAAGCCACAGAGCACAGATGCATACGATAATGCCGTCTGAAGAATACTCCATGATTTGATATTTTCACTGTGTTATTTTTCTGTTAGACAGCCCTTTCCAATGAGGAACTGAAGCTTTTATAGCCATCTGGTGGTTTTTTTGAAAGGGCTGTCATAGCCAAGATAAAGCGGTGCAGATAATCTAAATATAGAGTACACTCCAACTTGTATCAGTTTTACCACCAGTAACATAACGAAACAAAAAACCTTCTGCTTTACTACGTTTACACGCTCTCACAATGATATGCTAAGGAGCCAACGGTAGCTAACCTGGTCTTCCTACTTCTGTTTTTGGTGTAACGTCTCATCCTCCAGTTGGTCCATAGGGGCATAACTTGAGAGACCTACCATTAGGGAGGCTGACTAGAGGTGGTCTGCACACTGTAGCCAGACCCTATTGAGCTAACTTGCTGTGAGTAAGCAGGTTGTGTAGTTTGTTGGTTTGGGGCTTTTTTTTTTTTTTTTTTTTTTGTAACACTGGGGAGTGGGAGATGAGGTTAAACAAAAAGAACACGCACACTTTAAAACAGGACAAAGTCAAAAAGATACCTAAGGCATGATCAGTTTAAGGCTGAGGTAAAGTTTTTATCATTTGTTTATTTCTTTCAGTTGGTCAAAAATGAATGAATGGATTTGGATGAAAATTCTTGGAGAGGTAGAGTATGGCCCACAGAGCAATCGATTAGATTTTGGTGCTGATCTGCATCATCATGTGGATGCTGGAATTTTGTTAAGAGGATTCGTCACCATTGTGAGACAGGGCCAATTTATAGTTTTCAGTGATGTGACTGGCACAGAGCCCCGGAGGGCACAAAACCCTTCCAACATGGTGGCTGACAGTGGGCACTCGATAGAACTGCAGCACAGGCCTGTTAATCTTCTAGTTATTTTCTATTCAACGGCTAATTGGTAGGATTGAAGAGATCCAAGCTGTACCTAACAACCATTGTTCTGTTTTCTAAATCTACTCCTCCAAGAGAGACAGCGAGCAGCGTTGGTTGAGCGAGCTAGCATGTCAAAGAAGAGAGGGTGCAGCTCCAGCAAAACAAGGCAGTGAATCAGAGAAATAAATAAAACATAATTTTTTGATTCTTTCACAGTGGTTAGGATTTTATGTGAATGTCATCAAAGCAGAGGCTTCATCTCCATGTGTCAGCTGGTGCCTTGACAGTTAGGCCCAAGCATCTCTGAGATGACAAGTATTAACCATAGAAGTGAACAGTGGCAACAACACGGAACATTAAAAGTCTAGATTGACGGGATGGAAAGAGTCCTGCACATGCACATTTTTGGCTTAACTTTGTAGAGAGGGATGTTTAGCTGAACATTAAGTCTGCGGGGACTTTGAAGGCTTAGCTTTTTATTTAATATCACAGTTCCTCTGTGTTTTCACAAAACACTGTAGTGTCTGCACAAAGATTTTTTTGACAATTATTAGGTTTTCTCGTTTTGCTTCTGTGGCTCTCTACAGTTCACTCCACACTACAGAAGCAGCAGTCACTCCCCGTTCGACCCATCATCCCACTGGTGGCTCGCATCTCAGACCAGAATGCATCAGGGGCACCGCCCATGATGGTGCGGGAGAAAAGCCGGCTGGACAAATTCAAGCAGCTGCTGGCTAGTCCCAACACTGACCTCGGTACAGAAGGAGTCCAAACAACACCAGGTTCCCGCCAGCTCAGTCGGCTGGTTTATAATCAAGTGAAATAAAGTGTTGCTGTTAATGTGTGTTGTATATTGCTCTGTTGTGTTATAGAAGAACTCCGGAAGCACAGCTGGTCGGGCATACCAAGAGAAGTCCGGCCAGTGACGTGGAGACTTCTCTCCGTAAGTCTCAAGATGTTGTGCTCTGCATGTTGGCACACAGCAGCTGGTCTCGCGCCTGTTAGTCACAGTTAAATTTTTAGCCTCTGGGTAGCCAGTTGCATTCCTTTACAAAATTGCCTTCATAATATCAGAAGCCTTATCTCTTCTCCTCTTTTTTTCCTCTTATCTCAAATGGCCTGCCTGTTCTCTTCCTTTGAATACACATTGTTCACTGATACTTTCTCTTGTGCTCTGACAGGGCTACCTGCCAGCCAACAAGGAGCGCAGAGAGCTGGTGCTACAAAGGAAGCGGGAGGAATACTTTGGTTTCATAGAGCAGTATTACCACTCCAGAACAGACGAGCACCATAAAGACACATACAGACAGGTAGCACTACAGTTAAAGTTAACAAATCGAGAGTGTAATTTAGACCGCTACAAAGTCAATAAACATCATGTTATGATTTTAACAGGAACACATATCTGTTTTGATTATCTTCAGTAGCATCTCAATAATCTTTGTTCCTGTTAGATCCACATTGACATTCCAAGAACCAACCCTCTGATCCCCTTGTTCCAGCAGCCTGTAGTACAAGAGGTAAAATCTGAACTTCTTCTTTTGTTATAGTTACTTATTTGTTTACAGTTGACAGTCAAGACGCCGTGCGTTGTGACTAGCTGCCGTCTCCTCAGAATAAACCTGGAGGGTGCAAGGATGTCCTGTTTGGCGAATATGAGAGCACCCATAGTTTTCCATAGTTTACCATAGTAGCAGCCAAACTCTGTAGTTACTTTGACAGGATTCCTGGCAGTGTAGATACGTTTAGCACCCCTATTGCATCTGTACAGCTCAGAATAGCATGAGGAAACGTGAGTATTAAAAATGCTTTGACTCAGTGAGATGAGTGGAAATGAAAGGTGCCAGCTCAAGAACTGAAATCAGAATTTTTAGATTTTTTTTTTTGTCTTTATCTGTTTACGCTGAGGTATGACAGTATCCTCTTTATCTGCACTTTATCAGACACAACTTTAGGGTGTATACTACCTTAGATAACTCAGGAGACTGAACTATATGATGTAGAGTTGCAGAGTATTTTGCAGCCATTGAGGAAGAAGCTGCATCACATTACTAGACTACACATGAACTTTCCTCTAAAAGAAAGGGGGGGGGGGGACTCTGCTGAGCGCAGCTTGTTCCTCAAATGCGGTGATTGTATGTGACTTTGCAAAACAGCAAGCATTTGTGTATAGATATACCAGAAACTTGTCACTGCCTTTAATCACAGGCTAAGTAGATCATGGCAACAGCTCTTATTGTTCAACATCCCCAACTTTGACTGGAATCAAAGCAACATACTGTGTGCCTGCTGGATAGTGACAGTTAAGTGTTATAATGAAAGTGATCCCACTGGTGATTTATTGCCTTGTAATCTCATTTTGATGTTGTCTTTCTTTCCTCGGGTGTTTGAGCGTATCCTCTTTATCTGGGCCATCCGTCACCCAGCCAGTGGCTACGTCCAGGGAATCAACGATCTGGTCACACCCTTCTTTGTCGTCTTCCTGTCTGAGTTTGTCAGTAAGTTACTGGTGGGAAACTTGCATACAACCTTGTTATAGTCACACCAAACTGACTCTTGTCATTCACAGTGGCCCCTTTTACACTGCCTGTTCAAGGCAGGAGTTTTGCGCCAGTTTTCCACCGAGTGTTGTTTTTTTTGTTTTTTGTTTTTTACATCTACAGGATAAGCGATATAGTGATGGATGGTTTGTGTGATGCACACAAATTTAAAAGTTAATATTCTTCATAAGAAACTGAATCTGTGTAATAATCAATGTTGCAGACTATGTACAAAAAGTCAGAATCATGTTATAAATGTGCAGGACAAGCAAAAGCACATCTCTGTTCTGTTCATCTGCCACTGTTGATTTGACAGCAACGTTACTTATATGCTTTGTGTTCTGATGGGTGTTACTTTATGCATGGTTATATATCACAAACCATACATCTCATATCTGTAAAAATATAAAACAGGAAAATGAAAATTGTGTAGCTTCTCCCTCATTTTCCTTTCATTCAGCGTCAGTGTTGGAGAGTAAAGGAAGTGGCTACGACTACGACACATTGTCACGTACACAGGGATATATCAGCCTTTTTTTTTTTAACACCAAGTTGAAAAATCCTGAACTATTCCTTTAAGTGTCTTCAGGTTGTTTCTGTTTCATGCAGTGTTGTTTGTTGTTCCAGCGGAGGATGTGGAGAACTTTGAGGTGGCGGAGCTGCCTCTGGACACCCAGAGAAACATCGAAGCTGACAGCTTCTGGTGCATGAGCAAGCTGCTGGATGGAATACAGGTGTGTGTGTGTGTGTGTGTGTGTGTGTGTGTGTGTGTGTGTGTGTGTACAGTCAGTACTTACAGTTTTCTACATTTTATGTTTCAGACTCAACATGAATTCAGTCCATTTTTGACTCATCAATCCACATACAAAACTCCACAATGATAAAGTGAAAACAGGTTTTTGGAGTCTTTTGTAAATGTATTAAAAATAAAAGACTGAAATATTTCAGACTGGGATATTTCAGTGTTTTATTTTTAACACATTAAAATTTGGAGTTTTAATACATGCTTTTATTTTATCATTGTGGAGTATTGTGTGTGGATTGATGAGTCAAAAATGGACTGAATTCATGTTGAGTCTGAAACATAAAATGTAGAAAACAGTCCTTTCCTATCTGACTGTACATATTTTTCTATTTTGAGTGCACACATTTTTATTTTCATTTTATATTTTTAATTTTCTTGTTGCCTTGAAAAACACATTGAGAGCCTCTGTGCCAGAGTCAAATTCCTTGTGTGTTTAAACACACTTGGCCAATAAAGCTGATTCTGATTTTCATACACAAACATCTCACTGAACATAAAACGATAAAATAGGATGTTTTACTTATTTTTGTTTGTTTGTTTGTTTTTTTTCCTCCTCAGGACAACTACACATTCGCTCAGCCTGGAATTCAGAACAAAGTGAAGGCTTTAGAGGAGCTGGTCAGCAGGATAGATGGTAAGTGGGCTCCTGTCAGTTATCATCTGTAAGCTATAGGACACCTTTACTTTATACCAACATAAGCTCTGCTCAACCCTCTATACTTTAGGGTTTGTGCTGCTGACTCCAGGTAAGAGCTATCAACATGAAACACATTTAACATCTTTGTGTTTGTGTGTGTTGTTGTCGTCGGCCTCCAGAGGACATTCACAATCATTTCAAGAAGTATGAAGTGGAGTACCTGCAGTTTGCTTTTCGGTGGATGAACAATCTGCTAATGAGGGAGCTGCCACTTCGTTGCACTATCCGTCTGTGGGACACCTACCAGGTAGAGCAGAGCGTACACAATCATCAATCCTTTACAAAAGAAAGCAATCCAGTTCTACAGCCTGAAGAACTATGTAGCATTCACACTGCTGCAAATTTGGTCCATCACACAATATTTGTTAAATTGGCCATGTTCAAGTCATTTCTCCTGCCTCCTTGTCTTTGCTTGTAAATTCTGAATAACAAACTGCTGTGCAGGCTGAAGCTGAGGGTTTCTCCCACTTCCACCTGTATGTCTGTGCTGCTTTCCTCATTGAGTGGCGCAAAGAAATCCTCTCCATGGTTGACTTTCAGGTATCAGTGCCTTTGTACTTAACTTATTTAAACAGTAATTTAAAATGCTCCAGGGTTTATAGAATTTGAAAAGTTTACTTTGAAATCTATCTGTCTGAAATTCTGTGGTTTGCATCACCCTCTTAAACCCCAAAGTGTAGGTCCGAGTTTCACAGTTTTACTTTTTTATGGACACTTGAATTTTGCTCATTAGAAATACCCTTTCTTGAAACATGGCTGACAGAACATAACCTGACAGGACAGCTGTCTGAATGATTCCAATGAGGTTGGATTTGCTTTATGTTTAAATTCAGTCTTGAAATTTCCAACTTGAAAAGCTTAATTTGTTTTTGTTGAAACTGAAATAGTTTGTATTTCCTGAAGCTGGGAACAAACGTTGACATTTTTGAGGAGGTCATATGGCATGACATCACCACATCCACTCTCAGATGCTGGGTTAAAAAGACTTGGGAGAGAGTTACCTGCTGTGTTAACTAGATTACAACTAGCTCAACTAGCACACAGTGTTGCAGCAGTAGCTCGATGTTTCTTTGGTAAAAGATTTCACTGATACTTATCAGTACAAGCTGCCAACATCTTTTGTTCTTTATTATCGCACAAAGAAACAATTATGGAACTGTGACACTAACATTCAGTCAAGTGCACAAGAGAAACGAACTGAAAGGTTCTTTGTGTGGTAATAATTACTCTACTTAATATAATGCGTGCACTTGCAAATATCAAAAATATTTTCTGTGCCTAAAATATCCCATCTCAGGAAAGATTAAATTTCAGAACTGGGTGACCAGTAAGACATTACTTATACAGGTTGCAGCTAAATTACATTGCAGCAGTGGGTGTGTGTACCTGATTCCATAATCTGAGCTATTAGACAAACAAACCCACAAATTTTATATATATCTGAAATGCTATACATACTGTTATTAATTGCTGCCTTCCAAAAATAGTGTCAGTGTCTTGAAATAATTGTCTGTTGCACTTCAGGGCCTCCTCATGCTACTGCAGAACCTTCCTACAATCCACTGGGGTAACGAGGAAGTGGGTCTCCTCCTGGCTGAAGCCTATAGACTGAAGTACATGTTCGCAGATGCACCCAGCCACTACAAGAGATAGGCCTGGGGCCTCCACATCACAGCAAGCGCTGTACCTTTAAACAGAAAATCAAACTAGACTGTCACTGGATGGGTGCAGGATCTGAGCTAATACAGACCTGGAGAGAGAGTGATGTGTTCAAGTGCAGCTCCACAAGACCAACAGTATGTGATCTCAGAGCCACTGAACTTATCCTGTGAATATGAAGTCCACACTGGATTTAAGTTTATGGTGCAGCCACAGAGCTCAGCAAATATGAAACTATTTGCAGTGAGTATACTGCATTGTATCACTGGACTGTTACAGTATAAACTTGACAGCACTCAGACAGCGCACAACTCCGCCAAGGCAGCTTCCTCATAATGCCATTATACCTAAAAGCATTATTTCTATGATAGCTTCACCCTCATAATGATTCCTTTGGAACCACACTGGTATCATTAAAATGATATTTCCCTGATGGCGGTTTTCCTTAGGATGTAGGTCAGTAACTTTTGAAGATTCATCAAATCTGTTGCCACCCTACTGAATCAGCAGAGTTTCAGCTAGAATTTGATCTTTGTTGCAAGGCTGTAGCATTGTTTGTCATCTCCCATAGCCAGTTTTCCATGAGCCCTGTAAATCATAACATTCTGGATCAGCACATCTGGAATATTGCTTGTAGACTTTGGTATGTACTAGATCTTGCAATTTTTGTCCAAGCATAGTATGCACTATGTAGGGAGTTAGAAGCAAAAATATTGAAATCGGCCCTATTTCGCAATGGTGAGGTATCCTTTTTAAAAAAATCCAGATCATCATCCAGATCCAGGAAATCATGACCTCCTTGGTGGAGGTAATAATCACAGCTGTGCCATTGTGGTTTACTTATACTGATTTTGGTCATGTAACATTGTCTCTCAAATGAAATGTACACGCTGTAATATACAGGGATGATGAATGTTTGTGAGATCATCCTTTTAGTGAAAGTATCTACAGATTCTATTTTTTGCAGAATTGTTTTATTAGTTCTACAAGGGGAAAATGGGTGCACACCAGGCAATTTTAATAATTTGCCATTTTTTTTCTTTTTACTTATTTAATCTGAGTTTTTCAAGCTGTTGTAAATAAGATGGCCTTTGGGTTTCCCCTGCCTTTTCAGATAATAGAGCTAATTTGTGAATAGACATATTTTGGTTTAGAGTTAACAAGTCCGCGCCGTACAATCAACCTCAAACAGTCAGTTTAATTTGACTTGTACTTAGTTATAAGAGCTAAAGAGTAGCAAACAGTAGAGAAAGTCATTTGGTTTCAGTTTGCCTTCCTGTTATTACAAATCAGCTGTTCAAGATGATTTTTTTCTTTTTAATCAGCTCATATATGTTAACTGTGGCAAAATTTCAATTTTATTGCCTCAGAATAGATTGGGAACAACAGAGACCTGGTTAATGTAGCTTAGAAATTTCCTGAACATGTCAGCTGAAATGTCTGAGATTAATCAAAATTTTATTGTATTTTGAATAATTCTGATATACCTTTATTGAGAAATGGTGGCACCACAACTGGCACGAATTGAGATCAGTAACAACTGGTTTGTTTTGGCCTCAGGGTGCATAACAATGAGAGCAGTAGTGTTTTAGCTGACCCTATAATAATCTGTGAAGTATCTATAATAAGGTCTGAAATGGATTAATGCTTTGTTGTCATTAAGGCTTGGGTTTTATATTTGCTTCAGGTCAGGTCTCTCTTGTATCTGTGACCTTTCCCCAACGGTCACAGATAACAAGAGATGGTTTTATTTTTGAGTGAGGGGTGAATATGTATGTTATTGCTCCTCTACCTTCTTTGCCAGTGATAATTATAACACAATGTATGTTTAGCCTTTGGTACTTTCCCTCCCTCTGTTTTGTTTTTTGGGGTTTTTTTTCTGTGATCATTGGTTGGTTTCATTTTGAAGCACTTCCTGTGTTAGGCTGTAGTAAAGTTAAAATCAGATTTGCTGTCTGGCTGTTACAACAGTTTGAGTTTAGAAACATCTTACATGATTTTAAAAAGTCTTAGCTCATGTTCAGGTGTAATTCAATCCTGAAATGTGAAGGTTCAACCACAGAGGTCCTTTATGGCAGTGTATCCAGGAAAGGGCTACTTAAGATACTGTGGTACTTAAATTGAGTGAAATGTATTTTAATTTTTTGAAAGATCTAACACTGTACCTAGCATACCTGATTCTGGTTTGTTCACTGTTGGTTTTTGCATTGTTGCATTGTCTATAATCTGGTGTTCATCAACTCTGTTTTAATTAACTGAAACCTTTTGAATGTCTGTGCATGTTACAGTCTGTTTTTGGCCTAAAGCTAGGCTTTCTTCATTCAGGTGCACCAGCTGACTGTGTCCCTGCCATGATGGCATCATTCACTCCATGCTGTTTTTATGTAAAGCTCGCGTGCCCTTAAAATATGACGCTGATGACTAAAGGCTGACAAAATGAAAACTTAGTTTGTTTTACAAATGTTTATGCTGTTTTATCAGTAATATGCCAAATCTTTATGGGCCAATACAGTCTGTTTTAGAGTGCTTCAGTACTCAGTGCTGGTTTCAGCCTTAAATTAAGAATTATTAATTACTACAGTATTTGCTGTAAATAATATTTAACGTTTTGTTTATATTAAACAATTATTCTTCATTTTCCATTAGTATGTGTGTGTTTGGGGGGCTATATTGATCAGATATCACTGGTTTTATATATGAACTGTAATTTTAGGCCTACCAATAAAACCTTGCTATCATTTTGATTGCAACAAATAAGTCAAAACAAACTAAAGTTCATGGATATTTGTAAAGTAGTTAAGTGGTGGTCGTTTTAACCCATATGTGTTTGTGTTTTGGAACATTTTATATGCCGAACTAATTTAACAGTTAATTTTTACGATGAACTTGACAGATGGTACAGCTGTGGATGCATTTTCAAGTCCTGTTTTGCATAACATTAAGTATACAGTGAGTTAAACTGTGAGCTGCAACTTGGGCTCCAATTTTTGCCTTTCTTTTTACTTTGTGGTATATGAAGTATGCCGAATTAGCTATTAACAAATCGTTTTTGCAATGTACTATTAGATGCACTGGCAACTACTGAATTATTTTGATAGTAAAAATTATTTAAAGCCTGATGATTTTCAGTGTTGCACATTATCTCATAATTACAAGATCTTTTCCCACGATTAAGAGAAAAAAAAATCTCATAAATATACGATAGTTAATCACAATATCGACAGAAGATCTTGCCATGCTTTCCTTTGGCTGATACAATGCCCTTGCGTAAATATTATCTATTTCGTGTTTTGTCACGTTCGTCACGTCCATTTCGCTATGGATTATGGGTAATATCCCGAACGAAATCTGGTGAAGTCTGCAGCCTAACTCCTCAGAGTTCCCCAAAAAGTCTGTTCAGGTTTCTCGTGGACGTGTTTATTTGCAGATTTCGACCAGACGAGCACAGCCTTCCGCCGTGACGGAATTCCCGGGGACGCGTATACAATTCCGGACATTTGGGTTCAGTCGAACTTCAGTTTCACTTTTGCAGCCATGCTCCGGAGGTTTGCGTCAACAAAACCAAACGTTAAACGCGACATACCGCCTTGATTTGACTTTTTGGCAACATACCAGTCGCAGCAGATTTTTCTGAGTACCAAGGTAAACTGGTTTGGCGAACTGAAATGTGCCTGTGTGGCATGTTAGCGCAGCTAGCTACGAGCTAACGATGGCGAAGCCAGTCTGTAGTCGTCCTGACGTGTTCTAACGTTAGTAACCTCATTGCATTGCAGCATTGTTGTTTCTCATTAGAATGACTACTAGCTGTTCACTCATTGTGTAACTAGCGCAGTTTCTGTGTAATGCGGTCCGGCTACCAATAACGGTATCAAGGTAGTGCAAAGAGCTAACAAGGAGGCACGCTTCCCCTTTCCCTGTCAAATCTAACTATACGCTGTTGACCGCTCTGTCAGGCAATAGCAGCTTGGTGCCAGTCAGCTTAAGTACACGTTCATTCTGCTGAGGGCCTTGGCCTTTTTGGCTCTTGGATTTGTGTAACTTCCAAGCTAATGATTCAAACTTGTGTCTCCACTAAAGCAGGATGGAAGCTTGGTGAAAGAGGAGAATGGATGGAGTCAGTTGGAGCAGCACAAGGGCCCAGGAATCGTTCGACCGCTCAAGGATGGCAGCAGACACTCTGTCCAGGCTCGCCAGCTTCATTGCTGAGTCCAAACAGCACACAAGGAAGGGGCAGCAACCATCCCACTTACCCACATACGTCTGTCAAGAATGTGGTAAGGGCTTCCCTTATGCATCAGATTTGTTACACCACCAGGACCTAAAGCACACATTACCAAAGCCTCACCGGTGTCCCTCTTGTGGCCAGGAGTTCTCCCTGAGGTCAACCCTGCAGCTACACGAGTGTGATCACGATTCCTCTCTATGTGAGCTTTGTCATGGAGAGTCTCTGCTTGGTTCTCCTTGTCCTGCATGTACGACTCACACCTCAGATCCTGGCAAGCTGCAGGACAAGGCGCTCCACCGCCAGCCTCACCTCCTGGACAGTAGTCCTTATGCATGTGCCCCGTGTGGCAGAGGCTTCAGCCAGAAACAGGCTCTGTTGCACCATCAGCAGGCTGGTTGTAGTGAACCACCGTCTCCATCTGATGTAGTTGATGCCAGTAGCCTTCCAGATGATTCTCCTACAGCATCTGCAGGAGATTCGACTCGCTCTGATTCTTCGGACACCCCTGGGCCCAGCAGTAGTGCTATGAATGTGTGCCATTTCTGTTTTAGAACCTTTCGCACACCAGTTGGACTGCAACGTCATAAACAGACCAACCATACAGAGAAGCAGCTGAGGGCTCCACAGGGACAAAAGAGCAAAGGAAAATGTACTGGTGGAGAAGTGAGAAATGGAGTGAATGTCACGGTCAATGAAGATCCAAATGAAAGGCCAAAATCCAAAAAGAAGAATCTTAGCTGTCGCTCCTGTGACATGGTTTTCAGGAACATCTCTAAACTCCACGTACACAGAAAGGAGAAGCACAGCAGGGAGAAAAATGTTAGGAGAGAACCCCGGCTCGTCATCAGCAAGCGCAGGAGAGGCGGCACGTATCCCTGTCAGGTCTGCGGCAAAGTCTTCCTCCATCATTTGTCACTTAGGGCACATTACCGACAGCACACAGCCTCAAGCTTCGCCACAATCAAAAATGAAAGCCATTCTGTAGGATGCGCTGCCAAAGACTTAAAGTTCTCAGAGGACAGACCAAATAAAGGCCAAACCAGCCAAGCAGATAATAAGACTGTTCGGACTGGTCGAGGGAGGCCCAGGAAAGTGGCTAAGTTAGAAACCAGGGTCGGTGATCCAGGGCAATGCATAATAGTGCCTGAAGTGAAAGAAGAGGAGGAGGAGGAGGAGGAGGAGAGAGAATTCCCCTGCCCATCTTGCGTGGAGGTTTTCGCTCTGCAGTCCCAGCTGAGGGAGCACGTGGAGCTCCACCAGTCCTCTGTAAACAGGAGGCAGTGCAGTGTGTGCACAAACGAGATGGACACCTGCAAGTGGCCGGGCTCAAAGAGGCAGAGGCTGTACCACTGTGTGCCCTGCCAGCAGGGCTTCTCTGCTCTGGACTCCTTCCTAGAACACTGTCAGAAGCACCTGCGAGTCAGGGTGGAGGAGGACAGTGTCACAGAGAGCAGTAAAGCCTGAGCCACAGTTTGAATGTTATCAGCTATTGCCTTTTTTTGCCTTGAAGGGTCAGAGAGTGCAGAGTGAAATTCTTGTTTATTAACCAGTTAATCAATTGAGCATTCAGAGCAGCTTACTTTTGTACCTACCCTGTTGGTTTAATGTCCATACCAACAGATCTATGGTTAATGAGAGAAGATTGTTAAACAACCATACCAGGATTTTTGAATGCTTTATTCTGCCCTTTTACAATAAATCACATAGTTCACTGCCAGTTATTTCCTATAACTTACCACAATTCTTTTTAGATTTTGAAATGTTTTCTCTAATCTGGATGGCCATCTGTACATTAATTTGTGTGCGATCCATCCTCGTTGAACGTTAGTTTTTAATGTCACTGCATTATTAATATGTTTGAAAATGGGTTTTTTGCAGTGTTCATGTCTCTGATTTGAGACTTGGAGCACAACATTGTGTTCATGCTGTGGTGAAATCAAAGCAAATGTGGGCATTGATTTTAAAAAAGTCATGTACTGTACATATACTGTATATGCTATTGCATCAGTAATGAATTTTCCATGTGAATAATGAATTTCAGCTTTATTCCAACATGAACATAACACAGCTGACTAAACAAAGCCAGCGTGTTCACTTTGCTGGATTACTAGCGATTGCAGTTGATTTTCATGCTTTACAGAAATACACTGAAACCTGTAGCAGGCTGAAAAGTTAAAAACAACATGCAAAATCATCAGTATGTTTCTTTATTAGTTTGGAATTTTTCTTCTAATGTCTCTGACCTCTTCATATACATCAGGACCTCATTTGATAAAAAGATGATCTTAGCCCTTAAACTTATAGTGGGACTGAGGTGTTCACATTACTGCGGACAAACAAGGGTCTTGCGCTTTGTGTTCCATGATGGTTGGCGCAGAACCTCAAGTAGATACCCCTGGGAGCACTGAACAAAACGGCGCCACCTTAGCCAAAATGCTAGCAGTAGGTCACTACAGTTTAGAAGCTTAAACTGTGTTGTTTTAAAACAGTCTTGGTAGCGGCATTTGCATGCTGACATTTCACTAGCTAAATATTTTGGCTGTCTTTATCTGGTCTGGGTATGAAGGCAATATGATTCTGTGTCATGTGGGAAATTCAGAAACACAAGCAGGCTAATTAGATTCTCATCAATTCAGGCATTGTTCTGTGCACACAAAGGTCAACACAGCTGAGGCCAAAGTTTCAGCACACCCCCGCTCCTGAATGTCCACCTTGGCGTGTGAGGCTCACCACATATACCATGACAAGGCATGTGCAAAACCCATTTTTCCACAATACTGTGAACACGCCTTCAGCCAGGGGCTTTTTGTGCAGGTAGATCATGTGCATAGCCGTGGTACGTCCTAGCCAAAACACTGTCAGATGTGCTGTGTGCTACTGTTTTTGCACTAGACATCTGGGGCACTTCAGCTTTGTAAGGTCCTGTATGTCTTCTGCTGTATTTTACTAATTTGTCCTACACTTTTGGCAGCAATTAGTCCCAGGTTGGTGGGGGCTCTGGTGTGTCATGTGTTAGGTTGTCACTCTTGAATGTTGGACTTGGGTTTTTGTAGCACTGCTCAGAGCAATAGGTGGAAGTTTTGTGCATTTGTCAACTGGAAAGACTGGAAAGGATCACCAGGAGTGGAATAAAATCACAGGAGGAGAAATGTAATTATGTTTTCAGCATTTTTATGGCCATTTGGAGATTGCAGCATCCATCCGTTATCTGTACCACTTATCCTGAACAGGGTTAGATTCCAACAGTTCGTAGTTGTTATTGCCATAGTCTATAGAATGAGCAACATTTTAATAATAATCACTTTTTATTGGCCAAGTATGTTACACACACACACACACACACATACAAGGAATTTGTCTCTGGTCCAGAACCAAGGCAGCCATCTGTGGCACCAACTCACACACCCATGGCAGCGCTGTCCCTGCAGGGTGTGGCTCTGGCCATTGGTAGCAACTTGGGGTTTGTTGTCTTATCCAAGGACATTTCAACATGTAGACTGGGGAGAACGGAAATCAAACCGCCAACCTTCTACTTGGGAGACAACCGAGCCACAGCTGTCCCTTATCATGTACAGTTATACCCTATACACTCTTTTATTATGGCCTATTTTTATGCTGGGTGACATTGCCAAACTATGCAAACTGACTGATGGCAGCCCTTCGCTAAGTCTCTGATGCCTGATACATGTGCTCTGGTAAATGAACAAGAATTAATGTGATTTTTATAAGCTACTTTTCAAAGTGCTACTGTGAAAGTGTAGAAAATGATTGAATAGGCTTTGACTCAACTTTTTGAGGTCTTTTGTAAATTACTTTATGGCTCTTGAGTCTTTATAAGTAATTAAAACATCACACTTCTCAAGGGATGTGCTGTTTGTACTTTATACCAATGCTGTGAATGCAGTCATGTTTTTCTAGCAGGTAAACTAGGTAGGCAGTAAGCTCCAGAACCCTTTACATTAAATATCTTTAACTGCAAAATCCAAAGTATACAATCTGTATAGGTTACTCTTTACAGGACATATGTTAACATGTTTCAGACTGCAGTTGAAAAACAGCAGAATGATAGTAATTACTGACTAGTGGAGCACTAGTTGTGGCACTACAACATCAGACCTTGTATGGAAAGATATTTCCCTCTTTATAAACAAGCCAGCTGTTTTTGGGTGGTGAGAAGTACATTAAAAAATCATAAATAATAATGAAACAAAATGTTGTCCCATTCTGTGTTGCAAAAATATTGTCTGTGCAACAAAGTCAAGTTTTGTGTGAAGCAAATTTTGAGTTCAGAGGTTAAATCTAATTTGTTTTGTGCTAATGTGCAGGGAGCACTGGTCACCTCCCTGCCTGCTTGAAGTGTCTTCAAAATCTGATAGAGGAATATCTCCTATTTTATAAAAACTGCTCAGTTAATTATGGAAAATTAGCTATGATGATGATGGCTTTTTTCTTTATTTCGTTACCCTTGTTTTTATGCTTAGAAAATACCCGAAACATATACTAACAAGAAGAAAAAAAAACTAACAAGCTATGTTCTCCAGTCCTCGTGGCGGCGCTGTGTGGAGTTAACGCGACGTCCGTGGCGGAAGTTTGCTGGTTCACTTCTGCTCCTTCGGTGCACGCTTTCCCGCTGCGGTTCTGCAAAACGACAATTATACGAGTAACTATCGCCGTACAGAAAACAAAGACAAGATGAGCAAAGCGCACCCACCCGAGCTGAAAAAGTAAGTTGTCGGGTTTGTTTAAATTAAAGTTGTTTTTTTTAATGTTTTATAACAATTGCTTTGTTTGCAAAAGAAACAAGCTAGTAGCTAGCTTGCTTGACAGAGCTATGTATCACCTAGTTAAGACAATATTATGTATCATATCTCGTTAACTTAAGACAATGTTATTTTTCTTTTTCAGGTTCATGGACAAGAAGCTTTCATGTGAGTATAGCTAATAAGTGATATTCAAGCTCACTCAGAGTAATATGGACAGTTAACGGCACGTTGAGAAGGAACCTACACTTGTTTCATTTTCTGCGTAGTTCAACCTAAGTTAGTTTGGTCTGCTTTGTTTTAACTGGTTCTGAAGCAGCCTCCTACTATTAAACATAAGATGGTGGCACCTTTCATTATCAGGCAGGTTTCTACTTATTTTTCTTTATTATTCAAATAATGATTTTGGCTGCAAAATGTCAGAAAATAGTGAAAAATGCCTGGAAATGTATTTAGAGCTTTGAGAGTCAAACGCACAGGGGTTTAGCTAATGATAACTGACAAAGAAAAGCATCAAACCCTCACATTTAAAAAGATGCAACTAGTGCATGTTTGGCATTTTTGTTTGAAAAAGACTAAGTCAGATAATGGATTATCACAGTAGTTGATGATTATTCAGCAGAGACTGTACTTCCTACGGGTGCTCAGGAAGAACAACATCTCCCAGAGACCGCTGGTGTCCTTCTATCGGTGCTCCATTGAGAGCATCCTTACATACTGTATATGTGTATGGTATAGCAGCAGCAGCACAGTGGCTCAGAGGACGCTCCAGAGGGTCATTAATACGCCCCAGGAGATTGTCAGCTGCCCTTTCCTCACTCTGGAAGAACTACACAGTTCCCGCTGCCTCAAAAAAGCCCAGAACATTCACACCCTGGACGTTCACTCTTTGAACTGTTGCCGTCAGGTAGACGGTTCAGAGAAATCAAATCAAGGGCCGCTAGATTCAAGAATAGTTTTTACCCAACAGCAGTTACCACACTCAATGCTGCTCAAATATAATATGCCTGTGTGTGTGATGGAAGTGTGAGAGGTCTGTTGTTTATTTCATTTTTCTCGCGGTTAAGTTTTTTTATATGGTCTTATTTCATATGTTATTTTTTTTATTGCTGCATCGACTGGAGGTCACTCTAAAATTTCGTTGTACGTGTTACAGTGACAATAAAGGATTATCTTAATTGTTGCTGCCCTTATAAAAATTGTGAAAGTTCAACAAGTGCTTTATAAAGTATCAGATCTACTTTAAGTCCCTTGTTCGTATTAGATTAAGGCTCCTACCTCTTTACGTTCACCACAAAGCCCCATAGACCAACACAGACCTAAGATTTAGTGCAGATAATCTACATTAAGAGTGGCTTTTAAAAATAACACCTTTGTGTGAAATATACTCATGTCGATAATAGGGCTGGACCCGAATATTTGGATATTTGTTTGGTGGGTAATCAGTTTTCAATTTTATGCTCGTATTCGAATATTCAAATTACCTGTCCAGCAGAAATACAACCACCATGGCGTCACTTTTCAGCCCCCTTTGTCCTCAGTTGTCAGTATCGTTCAAAAGCCACAGCGATGTCAATTCTGGTTTTACTTCTTGCAGAATACAGTGTTAGTTGGGGACCTCGGGTTCATGGTTAAACAGCTTTAGCCTTGGCTCGTAGCGGTAACTAGCCTTAGAAGTCCGGGCCCTTCCAACAGGGGGGAAGTGAAGAGGGAGGCCAGATAATGTTCAAAACAGAGGCTTTATTCTGTCTTATTAACACGAACACTGCATGTGGCCTTTGATGCCCAACTAACCACATTACAGTCCTATCTACACATAGAGCTGACTGGTGTTTGGCTGCATGTAAAAGGAGTCTGTTCTGTGTGGCAGTCTTCTTGCTCTCATTCACACACAGGTTGCATCTTCTGGCAACTAAACCAACACTACCTATAAGGCTACATGCCTTAAAGGGGTGAGTGCACAGGCAGAGTGTGTGCAAGTAGGAAGTTAGGTTGACAGACAGGCCAATCAGTGGTTTTGCTTGGGACGAGTAAAATTATTGGTCAGTTGTTTTTCAGCCCTGCTGCTGTCACTGCATTTAATGTATTCATTGCCATCAGGATGAAAAGAGAAATTCAATTTATGTTAGTTAATGAAAACTGTTCAGTGCCTAGTAGCTTTAATAACATACAGTAAAACCACAGTTTTACATGAGCACAGACCTTGTGGCAGCTGAGTTTTTCCACTAACTTAACGACGAACAGGACTAACTGACACATACTGTGGGATAAACCAAGTTCATGATCTTAAGTGTTGACAAAGGTTGTGATGACATTTGGTCCCTAAAGCTGAATAGACAGCAGCCTGATAACAGCTAACTAGATAACTTACCTTTACCACGGGCTCGCTGTGTCAGCACAGAGCAGATAAACATCTTGTGGCTGGAACTCAAACTGTCCGTGGACGTCGGGGGATTTAGCATGTTTGAGTTCTGGTACAGGGAACATTGCTGTAACCTTATGCCGGCAGCAGGTGGAATACTGTAAGTGCTAGCTAGTTGACTGTATAGCTCCCAATTTCCACCATGGATCCAAACCGAGGTCATAATAAAAAGAAGGTTATTTTAAAATCTAGCCCATATTTATTAAATCTAACCTAAAGTATCATTTAATATCTGTCAAAGCACATTTATCGGGCTTCAGGAATAAAGACCAATTTTGAATGCATGCGCAGTTTGTGGAACGGATGTATCATCTGCTCAACACATTATGCCTGTGACCCAGTGACATATTTTGACAGGTCACTGTTGTAAATTCGTATTCATATTGAGAAAAGCAGAAACTTAAGCTTAACCTACAAGTTTACAAAAACAGTTGTGTACAGCTTATTAATTTATACACAACCATAGACCAATACGCATGCATATTATTGCCAGCTGTATTACCTCATAGAAAAAGTATTAGCTTGCAGTTCATGTAAAGTTATAGACCAATATGCATGCATATTATTGCCAGCTGTATTACCTCATAGAAAAAGTATTAGCTTGCAGTTCATGTAAAGTGAATGCAGTTATTTCAGGTATACTTACTATCTGATCAGTCCCAGTTGCCTCATATATGATTCACTCATATGTCAAGATTACACAGTAAATCCTTTGAAAACAGGGTGGACTTTTGAGCCTAAGACTGATCAGTGGCTTCTTTTGTCCTTAGTGAAGTTGAATGGAGGCCGGCACGTGCAGGGCATCCTGCGAGGGTTTGACCCCTTCATGAACCTGGTGGTGGATGACTGTCTGGAGATGGGCCCAGGAGGACAACAGAACACCATCGGCATGGTGGTCAGTACTTCTCCGGCCTCACCTTGGTGCCAGTGATGCTGAACTCTGACAATATGCACAGATAGCTAAACTGATAATGATGTCAAAAGTGACCTAAGTTTGTATTTATCAGGTATCAGAGTAGCTAATCACTCTGAACTGGCCAAAAATTTTCAGTATGTCATATTTTTGGTCCTGCTTGTAGAAGTGTAGGGCCTATGAATATACAAAAAAAATGTTCTCATTTTTTTGCCAGTTAGGAGTTATTTCTTAGGCTGAGATGCTTGACAAATACAGTCTCGGATCATTAAGTCAGTTGTAACATGAAACCTTGAGAATTGCTGTTTGATAAGCTTTCTGTGAATGGTTAGGCTAGGCACTGAGGACACCACTGGAGAGCTCTTTTCTCATTAAACTGAAATTTCATTTTGGTTTTACTTAAACCTTGAGGAAGTTCTGTGTAACTATCGAGTTAATGTTGTGGTCTCATGTCTTGCAGGTGATCAGAGGAAACAGCATCATCATGTTGGAGGCTTTAGAGAGAGTATGAGAGAGGCAGCGGCGGCTGCAGAAGGGAAAACGAGTCACATTGTGTCAAAGCAGTTGTTTGTCTAAGATGTTGTCCTTAGTTTTTAATTTGAACATATCTTGACCTGTGTAACCTTGTGAATAAATCTGTTTTTCTTTGTATTTTGTGTAACTGTGTGCTACCATCATTTTACAGGGAAGGTGTTGACAAATGTTTCTTTGTTTTTATAACAAGAAGATTACTGACAATATTAACTTTGAATTAAATGAGAATTTAGTCAAATATTTGCATGTAGAAAATTGATTATCACACTCCACTTCACCTAAGAATCTCAACTTGAGAGCTCAAGACCATTTTGAGGAACAGTGCTGCAAGACTGCTCTGTTATGTCGTAGAGGCCTTCATTATAATGTGGTGGACTTCTATGTATTGTTAATTGAAAATGCTATCATGTGGCTGTATTTTTCTTGATACATCTAGACTGTTTTATGCTTGTACATGATTAGAAGAAAAGGTCACTGCATGGAAACAGTAAAAAGATGTTGCTTTTGCAACATAGCTCATTTGCCCCTTCAGACCTTTTTGCCATTTTAAACAAAACATTGGGGGTAAATTTGTGGTTTAAATTTAAATATATCAGGATGTTTTGTGTGATGAGAAGAGTTATGGGTAAAACAGTTGTGTATTTAGTTGAAGAGCAGTGGACCTCTTCACTGATGTAATGCTGAAGCAGGATCAGTAGGGGGCGCGTTCTCGATGCGCTTACTCAAGTGGACTTTTATTTTGAAAGCCGACTGTCGTCATCACGGACACGTTTCCTTACGTCGCAATGTCGTAGCCGTTTGACGGTATGTGGAAAGTAGCGATGTCGGACGAGGTTGGGAAGGCGCTACGGTCAGTGGTGGAGCGGGTGAGCCAGGCGGCGGCGCGGCGACCCAAGGTAACTGCATCCCGGGAGGCTCCGCTGAGGGGCAGCGCTCCTGTTGCTCCGCACGCGGGCTCCTAAAAAGTGGTGCTGCGGCAGCGTGACTCGTTACGTAAGGCTGCAAAACACCTCAACCTTTGGACGGGAGACAGTCGGGCTTGTGGCAGCACTTTGATAAACACCATGCTGCTAGTAGCAACATAACATGCGCGGGAGCGGGGTGGTAATACGTAATGTTACTGTATCTTCATGCACGGTGATCCATAGAAATGGCACCTGAAAACTACCCGTGGCATGATTTATTGACTGGCAGGTTGTAAACATTTCATTTACACGATCACGCTCTCCATCACGCCCCTCACTCTACAGCTCTGTGGAGATGTCACCTCCGTGAAGTTGCCCCTAAAGGAACTAGCGTCACGGTTCATATGTAGGTCAAAGCATGCAGCAGGGCACATCATCTTTCCAATATTGTTTCGATGTTCCTCTGTGGCTTGTTACTACTAGTCATTAGTAGAGGCGACTTCATGACGTGGAACAGCATCAGAACGAGCCACACGCAATCTGTTTCATCGTTGTTTTGCAGGGCCTGGACAGGACTGGCTCTCTGTTCTGTTAGAGCCAAAGACCTCAGCTGGTTTCCACACTGAGCTCCTGTACTGATACAGATGAAAAATGAGCTTTTGTTCTTCCTCAGACACTACCAGCTGTGCCACCCCGCCTCGTTGCTGTCAGCAAGACAAAACCCCCAGAGATGGTCGTGGAAGCCTACAGACACGGGCAGCGTAACTTTGGAGAAAACTATGTGAGTATGTGGAATCGCTCTTGGCCTGCATCGCTCCATACTCCATGTCACTGCATCTACATAAAACTCTGAGAGGAGTAAAGGTGAGAAACAGTGTAGAGACTGATCTGGCCTTTTTCCTCCCAACAGGTTAATGAACTTGTCGACAAAGCTTCAGATCCTCTGGTGGGTTCCAATTTTTTGTGACAGATTGTTGTGTGCATTATGACAGATTTTTTAAGTATTTCTTTTTCTCATCTCACAGATTTTAGAATCATGTCCAGAAATCAAGTGGCATTTTATTGGCCATCTACAGAAAAACAATGTCAACAAACTGTTGAGTAAGTGACGGTCTGCTCTCCTAATGAGGCTGCATGTTAGACAAACAGTGCACTGAGTCTCTGTGTTCCCAGGTGTGCCAAACCTGTTCCTCGTGGAGACGGTCGACTCGGTGAAAATGGCCGACAAGGTCAACATCTCATGGCAGCGTATAAGAGGAGCCAGCACACAGAGGTTAAAGGTCATGGTGCAGATCAACACCAGTGGAGAACAGAGTTAGTGTTGACTCTTTTCTTTTTTTTTGCCTCTCATTAAGTCAGCAAATCAGTGGCTGTGTGTCACGTATTTTTTGTAGGTAAACATGGCCTGCCACCAGAGGAGACGGTGAACACAGTGAAACACATTGTGTTCCAGTGCTCCGCTCTGCACTTCTCAGGACTCATGACCATCGGGCGTTACGGCTACGACCTCACCCTGGGCCCCAACCCGGACTTTCAGGTATCAGAGGCTCTTGTAAAAAAACAATGTGGTTTTGAGGCAAATGTGGTTTGAATTATGTTGATTAACTGCAGATGGGTGTTAAACCCAACAGTCTCAGTGAGGTGCTGGGCCACCACGTGCCACCAGAACAGCCTCAGTGCACCTTGTCATTGACTTTCTAAGTCTCTGAACTCTGTGATGGTTTTTTGTGTGTGTGTGTGTGTACACTGATAATACTCTGGTAATCTATACGATAGATCAATATATTAGTAAGTATTTTAGCATAAACCACAGTGATTTATTGTGGCTCCAAAACCTATATATTCTTACTTTGAACATGCCAAGCTATAACCGCTGTTCTACAGTTAAAGCTTCTCTGACCTTTTTCTTTTCAGCCTAGAGGGTCAGACTCAAAACAAACTGGCACCATAAGCACCTCCAAACTACTCTTTGAACCATCACAAGCTGTTTCCTTTCAACAATGTAAACTACAGAAGCCTGGCTGTGACAAACTGCAGCCTCCTGTCTGAAGCTAGCATTAGCGGATTGAGTAAATGTGTCAGTCCAGTGGAACACCGTGGTTATTGCTAATGTTAAACAAAACAATGTGACACAAAGTTCAAATTACTCCCAAATTAAAATCATAATAATTCAGCACACAAGTAAAACCATGGCCATGCTAGGTCACTAATGTTACAAAAACAAACGTGTTAGCTTTAGATGCTAATGCATCCAGAAGGAGGAACATCACATCTCAATCAAATCTGAGTCATTTGGCTGCTTTTAACACTCTCCATGTCAAAAAGCCAAACTGATGTTAACCCTGGTTGTTGCTCTTTCTTTCTCCCTCTCTCTCTGTGCAAAAGAATGTGACCTCTTAACTCTGGCAGCCATGATTTCAGACTTTTATCAGATGAGAGTTGCTCCATGGCTGGTTGACTGATATGACAGCTGGCCTCCCAAAAAGGCTTCTTAGAACCTTTGCTCAGTGGTGGGCGGGGCTAATGTCTGGACCGACTCTTTTTACTACTTAATACTTTTTGTTCACAATTAAGTTTAGATGTTATTGTACAATTAAGCTACAAGAAGCCATCTTGCAGTGTCTGTAGTTGGGATGGAAATCTCCTCATCCTTATGATTATAACCTTTTAGTGTACATTGCCGTGGTTATTCTCCTCTGATCCCACTAATGTGCCGATCACATAGTTTAGAAGAAGCTGTGAAAGGAAGAAGCTCTTCCTGGAGTACATTTGAAACTGTGGACATCATCAGTCATGTGGTGTTTTCTATTTGACTCAAACTTCAAAACGCAATGAAACGTTTGTATCATTTGCATATCTCTACTAAAAATAAATGAAAGTATAAATGTTCAGCTCTGAAAAATCTGAAGTAAGAGATCAACTGGAAGTGAATAATGGAATTTACTGAGTTAAGTGACAGATTTTTTTGGTGGTTAGACTCATTGTTATGAAACATCTTCATTGTAGGTCATGTGAAGGCAGGAGGTAGGACAGGAGCACTTGGGGTCCCTGTACATCACAAAGGTGATGTGATGATGGGGAGGAGCTGGACTACACAGCAGCGGGTCTGAAAGACTGAGTGGTTGACTTGAGGGATGCAGGCACAAAGATCACGGGTCAGATACAGTCATGGTCAAAGATATTGGCGTCCTGCATTTCTGTCAGATAACACACCACTTCTCCCAGAAAATCACGTCTTTGGTGTTCTCATGTTTATTTCTTTTGTTTGAATTGGAACAACACATAAAAACAGAGGGGAAAAAAAGCCAAATCTGATCCACACAGAACTCCAAAAATGGACTGGACAGAATTATTGACACCCTCAACTTAATATTTGGTAGCACACCCTTTGGACAAAATAGCTGAAATTAGTCACTTCCTGTAACCATCAGTGGGTTTCTTACACCTCTCTACTGGAGTTTTGGACCACACTCTGGTGACATCAGATTGTTCATCTTTAAAACAATCAGCAGATATTGTCTCTTTTTCTTTTTTTTTTTACTCCCAGCAATCTGTATCAGTATCGACCTCGGTATTAGTTTGGCTCTAATCTTAGTGTGTCCCTCCTGTAGATGCTGCTGAACAGAAGGCAGGAGGTGTGCGACAGTCTGAAGCTACCTCTGGAGGAGGTCGAGCTCAGCATGGGGATGTCCACAGATTTTGAACACGCGGTGAGTATCACACTTCATCAGCATTTATAAATGCTTTCTACATACTAGGGATGGGACGATATGACTTTTTCTCACTACAATTCGACTCAATCACAATACAGTGAAAAGGCTACAGAATACTTGTACTTTATTCCTCTTTTTTCCTCCCTTCTGTAGCACTGGTTTGATTATGTAAAGAACAACCAGATATATTGACTTGCATTCTGTTAGGCTGTTATTTATAAAACATATTAAGTCGCTGGTGTATTGAGACCACAAGATATATATCACTAGACAAAATGAGACATTGTGATGTTTTTGTATCGCGGTATATTGAATTTGTATATATTGTCCCCTCCCTACTATACTCAAATATTCAAGCAAATATCAGCCGCAATAAGCACAGTTTTAAAAGCAACTAAATAGTGGTTTGTAAACTGTAAGGGATGATTGTTGTTGGGAATTGGCGCTATACACATAAAACTGAATAGAACTGACTTAACCAGTATTGATTTAGAATTTTTATATTAGAATTTGAGCCCCTTCTAAATAATGTTTTTGATAGTGGACACTTTTTTTATGAATTTGTGAACTTTTAAAATATTCTTAAAGTGGAAGCTCCACTGATGATATACAACAGAGTCTGTGTAGCTGTTGGAGATGCTGCATTACATGATGGAAACCCTTTTGTGGCTCCAGAGTCAGCTGAAGTCTTAACATGTTCCAAGTGGAGTTTGGCCATGAGAGAGAAGTGACATCTGGAGCTGCTCCTCATCTCTGCTTGAGGCTCTGGCTACATTAGCTGCTACTAGACTGTAAATTCAGTGGTATTTAAATTGGTTAAATTTTATAATTAGGCAATCAGTTGCTTTTTACATGTCTACTCTGCCTCCATTACAAAGGGAACTACAGCATTAACTTTATGTGATGAATCCATGTAAGCTAGTACATAGCTAGCTAGTACTCTCAATTGTACAGTACACATGAACCTGCTAACTGTTTTTGTTTGTTTGTTTTGTTCTTGCATGTGCATTTTCCCATCTGTCGAAGATCGAGGTGGGCTCGACCAACGTGCGAGTGGGCAGCGTCATATTCGGCAACAGGGAGTATCCCAACAGTGCACCAAATACTCCAAACCCGAGTCCAGCCCCGAGTCCAGCTCACAGTCCTTTCCCCAGTCCGGAGAAGACGTCCAAGACAGTGTCGGAAGAGGCCGCCAAGAAGATGCAGCACCTCACCGTGTCCGGACACTAAGCAGAGGAGCTTTTACTTCTGTGAAATACCTTTAAAACGAGAGCAACTTTCACATGCAGAACGCACTAAGCAGCGAGTCAGTCCCACCGAGGCCGAGTGGAGTTAGGATCGCAAGGTGTAGCGGCCTAATCCGCATTACTTCCATGTGCCCTCCTCCCTCGCTCTCTTAAGCATTCAAAAGTGGCATTCGGTGCTGAGCTAGTTCAACCTTTTCAAAAGTAGTGTTATTAACATATAGTGCTCTGACTTCTTCATGGAAATCTCTCCTACAAGATCACCGGGTACACGACTAATGTACAGCTACTGCAAATGTAAAGACTAATAGAACATGATTTCACTGGGGTTATGAGATGGCGACAGTTTGTTTGGCTTTGTTGTGCTGATGTGATGTTTTCTACCTTTCCAACATGTGACAGTGTCCCAGAGATCAGGAACTTCCACACAGTGTTTTTGTTGTAACAGGTGAAACAGACTCAATTTAATCATTTATCTCTTTATAATGACACATCCTTATTGTGTGATTGATATCGTTTCGTACGGTGTGCAAAACATGTCAGATCTCTATTCTTGATATTAACAAATCGAAGAGTAAAAGTGAAGAGGGTGTTGTGTTTTTGTGTAACTGTGTTGTGCCCGTGTTGTGGCGTGCCACACTGTTGAAATGAGAGTTAACCTATGCAAAGCGGGGAACACGTTTCAACGTGTGTTTTAACGTAGACTTTTACGCTCCAGCTGTGATGGTGTCGCCGTGGTTTCGGCAAAGACGTCTCAAGGTTAGTGTGTTTTTCTGTCTCCCATCAGAAGTGCGTCCGTAGTCCGATTCAATGAACTCGTAGTTAGACACGCTCATTATCTTCACAAGGCATATCAGCGTTGTTTGGTTTGGAGTCTGACTGAGTGAAGCCAAAGCCAAGCAATAAATGTTCCTGAAAAGAATCTGCCATCTGCTGTGTGTTTCTTCTAGTTGGGACAAATAGGAGGCAGACAGTAGTTTGGCCAGAGTTTCTTTATTAAGCACAAGGACTGGACCACAGTAAAAACTGGAATAGTCTGAGTGAACAACTTGGAAACAAACGTAGTTCCCCAGCTCAGTGCATGTCAAGAATTTCACTCAAATCTAAAGTTTGCCTGGGAAAAACTACCCTAGTTAAAAATGACTCACTATATCCCTTTCTAACGATGATAACCTCCATTATGAATCTGAATCAATGGAATTTGCCAAAGTATTAAAATGCTGTCTGGAAATAGCTCATAACCGTTCCTAAAGCTCAGCAATAAAGACAGGCTCAATAAATAAGTTCTGATGAAAGAAAAAAACCTTGTTAAAGACTTAAATCCACAGAGAAGGTGTTAGAACATGAGCCGGACAGTCAGTAAACAGCACTTGATATTTACAACACAAAGTATATTTCTGTTATAAACAGATGAGTATCACAAACTATCTAGGGGCCGAGCTGTCAGAATGAACTCTGGCTAGAAACCAAATGCAGTCTGCAGGAGGTGGATGGTGACATTTCAGTTTGACCCCCTGGTTTCACATTTCTCAGCACTTAACTGTTACTGGCACAGTAATCTAGTTTTAACCAGATATGTGTTTATCTGTGTGTTTTTATCTCCTGTAAAGCATTTTTAAAACTTTCCCAGAGAGATATTACACATTTGTAATCAAAAAAATGAATGAGGTGCTTATAATTGTTGGATTTATTGTACTCACTAATGCAGTACGTATAGTGTATTAAATATTTCTTCGCCCTTCATCACAACCACCAAAGTATCTGAGGAAGGCCACAACATACCTGAAAGCTGCAGGAAAAATCCTGTAAGTGGTTTTTGAGTTGCAATGTGATTTGTGAAATGTCTTCATGAGGCTTGAACAATTTTAAACTCATCTGTTAACTTATTCACAGGTATCAACAGTTAATAAATATTTTATAATATACTAAGGATTTGTTTTATAATTATACTGTTATATTGTACTATTAAGTGCTCGCAAATACACTAACTCATGACTCAGTGTGATGTTAACAAGTGCCTTCCTCACTGCTTACATGATGTTATAAACCATTTTGCTTAAGTGTAAGAATGTGGACACATAAGGAGTCAAGGCCAGTGTAATATTTGTACAAGTGTGAGCACATGGTGAACAGCTGAAAGCTTAGAAGATACAAAAAACTGGAAATAAGACCATGTGCAACACGAACAGTGACACAATCACAATGGCCTACATCAAATCAGGTTTGAATAAACTCTCTGGTTTTTAGCTGTAAATGCATCACCATTAAAAACAATCTCAGATCATTAATGGTGTCACTGCTTCTTGGCCTTTGTTGTCTAGCGTGGTCCAGAAAACACAACAAATTAAAAAAAAAAAAAAAACTTTCCCAGGGTTGATAACTTCAGGGAATCTGCCCATACTGTTTATGGCTGATATTAAGACCACCTATCTCATCCTGTGGGTGGGCGTTTCTCAGACTTGCTGCTCATATTTGTGTTGTTTCCAGATGTCCGGTTGCTCAGGCGGATGTTACACCAGTTTCTTAGCCTCAAAGAAGCTTTTGAGGTGCTTCATCTGCCAGATGCCGGTGATGATGAGGATGAGAGTCTGAGCAATGGACCACCAGAGAACACGCTGGTTGGTGCTCTCGCTCGTCATGCGAAAACGCTCCTCACGGAACTGCACAGGACAACACAGAATGGGGTCACCAGAGCAGCCTACAGCAACTATACCTGACAAACCTGTCACCTGTGTACATGTATTGTTTTTTTGTTTTTTTTTTACTGACCCTCTGGTAGTTTTGTTCCTTCTGGATCTGCTCGACTTGGTCCAGAAGCTGTCGGACTCGCAGTTGCAGCTCAGTGAGTTTGTCTTTAGCTGCGATTTCAGGGTAGTTGTTGGTATGTTCTCCAACCTGAATATCCAGATGCACTCTCTGCAGCATTGAGAAATGGACAGTTTGAAATGTATACGATTGTATTTTGTGGCAATTAAAAGAAACGATAACTGTTTGAAAAGGGAGTTTCATTTTAAAAAAAGGCCCAGAGAAGCTGGGCTTGTGAAAAACCTGTCAAATGGTATCAAGGAGTTTCATTAAGCAAACCTGGAGTTAAAATGATGAGATTGATTTACATCTGGTTTAAGATCAGATCACAGAGATTCACAATAAAGAAAACAAATAATGTAGACAAAACAGTGTTGTTCTCAGGATGCAGAGCAGCAGATAACCAAATACTGGCTTCAGAACCCATTAATGCCCTTTTAACCATGTTTCTGACTTCAGTACTCTGGGGCAAAGGTACCCGAGTGCCTGTGAACAAAACAGTGGCTGTGCATCTGTCTGATCAACTAAAAAACCCACTGTAGCAACCGGCTTGTGTTTCACATTTGCATTTCGCTTAAATAAGTGCTCAAACTAATGTACAATTATATTTTTGAAGTGCCAAGTAGGACCCCAGACATGGAATGTGCATCATAAAATAAGATCAACTGCATTTTCTAGAAACTGAACTCTATTGGGTGGATTTTGCTGCTGTGTCAAAAGCAGTGATATTATAGTCTCCACCTAGGAAATACTGTCTAGATGCATTTGGATTGGCTAGCTGTCAGTTTTGTGTGTTTAAGAAGATGAATTTCTGGCTGAGTCATTTCATTTTATTTAAGCAGCATTTAAAGGCCCTGTATATCCACAGTCAACCCACAGAGGTGTCGCCATGTGTCCTGCCTGATCAGAGGATGTGTGGGCGTGACTGTTCCTGACTGACATCTCCCTCTGTATCCTGGTAGGACAGGACACATTACACCATTATCATTACTGGTGTGTTCATACAGTTCCTAGGATTGTTCAGCTCTCCTTCAACCTCACCAAGGAGCTAATGAGCCAGAACAACTGGAAACACCAGTGTGGGTGTGTAGGACAAGTAAAGAGAGAACAAACAGTATAGGTGCTGCTTCCTGTAAACTTACAGCTGTGGGTTAGAACTGTTAAAGGCTTTATTTTCTTTGCAGTGCAGTTAAAGCTCAAGTTCTCTGCAATACTGTGCAGAAAACTGAAACATGATCTCAATTCTTTTTTTCAGTCTTCACTGCAGCCCAAAAAAAAAATGGCAGAAAACTCTGTACTTCAGTCTGTCAGGTGGATTTTAGTGCCTAAACTGACACTAAGTCTGAAAATTAACCTGACCAGGTCAGTTTCATTGGTACCTTTCGTGAAAATGAACCCCATGTACTAAAGCATGACAGGTGATCCAGTTCTACAAAATAGTACAAAGAAACATGCAGCACTTATTTCTCAAAATCCCAGTGTGAAGAGACTGAAGATAAAAGTAAAGTCATTAGTAATAAACATCTGACTGAAAGGTTTTGAAGAAGAGTAACTAGTCAGGCAGTTCGGAACCAAAGCAGCAACTACGTCCATACCAGTTTTCCTCCTGCGAATAGAGCCATCTTGGTGGAGTTGGAGTGCAGACAGATCTGATGTTCTCCAGGAGTATGGGAGGTGAAGGTAAACCGTCCGTCTGACCCATACTGACGGGAAAGGATGATCTGGAAAAGTCATAAGAGAAAAAGCTTTAGCCTCTATTCATATGTATGGGAGTGTGTCTTATAGTCCCACCTCCTCCGTCCTTACTTTTGCATCTGGATCCTTGATCTCCACGTGCATCCCAAGGCCGGGGGTGGACGGTAGGAAGGAACCGGACTGTTTGTCCCACAGCTGAGTCCTGTACTTTCCTGTCAGCCACACAACGCGACACAGAGACACATGCCATCAGCTCATCCAGTAATCATCACTACCGGTAACAGAAAAAGAATTCAAATTAGAACCAGAGTACAATCAGTAGAAATGCTGGCGGTGCTCGACAACACAGTGCCATATGAGAATATTAAATGCAGTTTAGTTGTGAGCCATAAAGCTGAAAGGCACAACAATGCTCAGTAGAACTGAGGGGAGCTGCAGCATCAGTGACATTTCTCTTACTGGTCATTGCTACAAGTGACACCGCTCATGTTAATATGTTAATATAAAAATATTCATTATAGCAACACTTTTAAAAACTCATTCATGTGATAATTTTAAAAATGTTATGTGTTTACATTAAGAGAGAAATATCAGCAAATTTAAGATTTTTCTTTCAACTGGTAAATATCACTACTGTCAGCCTTCAAGGTCTGCTGCACAGGAAAACACTAGCCTTTATTTTTTTGTGGGATTTATGTTGTTTTACATAAAAAACAGAACAGTTTGTGGCACACCATCCTTTGCAAAGCCAGCACCACCACACAACAGAATGGAAGTGAAACTGGCTGTTTATCACTGGTATTTACATGCTGACAATGGTGGTACAGCACAAATAGGTAAATATAAATATATTCAAGAATCAAGATTCCTTTCATTGTCATTCAGCACAAATATCAAAGATGTAATGCAGAACAAAATTACGAGCACGGCTCCATTGAAAAACCCAGGTAAAAATATTCAAGATTCAAGATTTTTATTTGCCATTTATGCATAAACAGACAGTCTAGGCATATAGGAATTCTTGTGCAGCTCACCTTTGGAGACAGGTAAGGATTCAAAAGCCAGAAAGAACACTTAGTCTTAAAATAAGAAAGTTATATAAAGGCGACAAAGCATTAAAACCGCAACACACAAAATAGAGTAATAGTATTTTCCTCAGTGAACTTCAAACATCACACTTAGTAATTCACATGGTGGAGTTGGATATGTCATTACACTTGGTGAGGTAGTGAGGGGTTATTGTACATATATTCTCACATTTTCATATTTGCCATCAGTCTTACTGTGGCAGGGAAAAAGCTGCTGTGTCTGAGCAGAGAGTGACCTTGGTGGGGTGCAATAGAGTAGAGTAGGTACGTTATTGATCCCACAGTGGGAAAATAAATAAACAACTGAGTAAATAAATACAATCACCTGCCATTATACAGGTAAGACAAGAGGGGAGAGTTATTGGATCTTTATGTTGTACTGCCCAATATATAAATAGAAAATATCGCACATGAAATAACATCTGTCTGGTTATAAATGAGAAAGGTGCAGGCACAGTCAGCGGTGTGTTATTTTGTTCAGCAGCCAGGTAGAAGCTTTTACTGCACCTGACAGTGCTGCTAAGCAGGTTCCTCTATCTCCTGCCTGATGGCAAGAGGGAGAACAGTCTGTGACAGGGGTGAGGGGAGTCTCTCAGGACACTGGTCGCTTTAGCCTGTAGGCATCTTGAGCCAGCTGATCAATAGGTGGCAGTGTGACCCCAATAATCTCCTCAGCTGTTCTCACCACTCTCCTCAGGGCCTTTCTGTCTACAGAGCTCTCATACCAGAGAGAGATGCTGTGGGTCAACACACTCTTTGTGGTGCCCCTGTAGCAGGTGGTGAGGATGGATGGACTGAAGTAAGCCCTATTCAACCGCTGCAGGAAATGTAGACGCTGGTGAGCCTTTTTCACCACAGAGAAGGTGTGCAGGGACCAGGACAGGTTGTCAGCCACATGAACCCCCAGGAACTTAGTGCTCTCTACAGTCTGCACGGCAGTTCCGTCAATGGAGATCCGTGTACGCATGGGCCGTTTTTTCCTGAAGTCCATTGCCATTTCTTTGTTTATTTTTCGACATTCAGTACAAGGATGTTGCTCTTACACCAGTCCACAAAAAGCTCCAAAGAATTCGTCTTTAACAGTATTGTGCAAGCCACTGGCAAACCGGATTTGCGATGTTTGTTAAGAGTGATGAAAACTGTCATCTTATATTAGACACTGTTCTTCATCGCAGTAAATTGTCAAATTCCGTGTGCAAATATCAAAGCAGTTTAAATTGAAGGTGGGAAAAACTACTATGAGTGTTGCACCTAATTTTCTGAAACCTAAGGCACCAACACTGAACAGATGTCGTGAAGGAAAGGTCAGTTAAAGCTTTCCATTGAGCCATTTTTTAAATCACTGGCTCCTATAGCACGATGTCATAAGTCTAATTGTGTGGCTTGTGACATAACGTTATTAAATGAAGTGTGTTGAGAATACAGGCAGTGTAAAGATGCTAAACAGCTGCTAAAAAAGCCTCTGAAAACTGTTGCCACGTTGAGGCTTGTAACCAGGCTGAACAGTGTGTACTAGATGTTTCTTCAAAGCATTCCTGTCGTTACTGCTGTCACTCACTGCAGTGTCTTTGTTGGTGCCAGCTGTTAGCGCGCACTGCTAGCTGACTAATATCACGTCAGGCTAACCAACCACCCCACAACAGCTTACCAATAACCATGGTCTCGTCTGGAATTTCCTCAATAAAGCATTTCTTCTCCGTCTCTCCTATGTGAAAGTAGAGTGCGTAACTTGGGTAAATCCAAGCTAATACTAAAAAAAGTCCAGCGGCAGTGGAAGAGAGCATCCTGTAGCCTGTTTCACTTTGCGCACATCAGCACAGGAAGTCCTGATGCTGCAGCGTGCTGACGTCATTCCCCACTGCGGAAGAAGGAAGGGGATTTCCTAAGGCCTTGGGATTAGTTTCGCCCTGAGTTATGCTTCTCAGGCAGCTGTCACTCGCGCGCAGAACACCCTTCACATTAAAAAGACATGCAAATTTCTTTTATATCGCACATTTAATTTGCATAAAAAAGACAGGGACATGGTTTTAAGATAAGGTCACAATTTTAACCTATTATTTACATTGATTTTATTAAAAGAATATTCTAAAAACATTAGTGGAAATAAAAACTGTAGAGGTCACTGATTAATATGCCAGTTATTCTCTTGATTAACCTGATTCCAATGGCTTGATTTGTACAACCAACAAATCCAAAGATATTCAATTTATTATCTATGAAAAAGAAATGCATCAGTTATCAGTCATTAAAGAAGGTGGAACCAGGATGTGTTGATTTTTGCTTCTAAATAGTTGCTGGATAATTTTCTATCAATGAACTGACTAATGGTTGCATCTCAAGTTAGTGAATAGCTTAATGAGGACAACAAAGTGTGGTGAACTCAATAAGGGACTGTTTTGGAAGAATGGTTCCTCGCTTCAACAGAGGAGCATTGAAGCTGCTCTGAAGACTTAGCAGTCTGTTGGTCATTGTATGCTAAGTTTTCCTTTCCTCTCCATCTGTATATCTGTTTTGTCTTCAGTGCTCATCAATGATCATTCTTGACTTTAGAGATCTGGTTAAAGAAAAAGCTAACTAAATGTCCATATGTTCACTTCTTGCAGCACTTTCAGTCACACTTCGCCGTGTCAATCTGCTCAGAATTTGTTTCTTTTCTTTCAAAAATCAAATAATGATTATGCTACTTGACAAAACTAATAAATCTTTTGATGCAGACTGAGATATACAGTAGCTCAAAGACTTGTAAGGGGACTTGGATTCTTTTGTCAGAGGACAGAGATTTAGTTTAAAACAAACATGTTATTCAACCTGTGGTTGCTTTAAAGGAGGATAAATTGTTCTTGAAGTCAGTTACTGTATATCAAACAGAAAAAGACATTTTCTACATATATTCCTATAATAATTACTTAAGGCCATCCTAAATTATTAGGCTGTGACAAATTTCAAGCCAGGGTTGGTCATTATCTTCTGATGTGGAAAGGAAGTAAATCAATTAGTGAGGAAATGTACTTAAGTACAGTTTTGAGTTATCTATACTTGAGTATTTTCATTTTGTGCTATTTTGTACTTCAATTTCATTGCATTTTGGAGGCAAATATTGTACTTTTTACAACACTGGGCTACATTTATTTGGCAACTTTAGTTACTTTTCAGAATCAAATTACCAAAACAAAATACATTATAAACATACAAATTAACTGATCACTGGTAGTAAAGCAGTTTGCAAATACTTCAATTTCATATTACAAGCAGGCTTTATAAGGTAGTTAATGTTAGTTCCACCGTTACCAGCTTAAAATCTGATGAACAAAATAATGCATCAATAATTATATTCTAATAGCATGACATAGGCAGTACAGTGATGCAGTGGTTAGGATTGTCTCCTCACAGCAAGAAGGTTCTAGATTCAAGACTGGGCAGACCCAGGGCCTATCTGTGCAGACTTTGCATGTTCTCCCCTGTGCCTGCGTGGGTTGTCTCCAGGTAATGATGTTAGGATATTAATGTGAACTATGCCATTCTGCATAATGGGTACTTTTACTTTTGGTACATTGATGGTAAAACTGTTGTACTTTTACCTATCACATTTTGAATGCAGGGCTTTTACTTGTAGCTGACTACATATACATAATGTACACTATAGTACTGATACGTTTACTTAAACAGTTAAACAATTTGTGTACTTCTTCCGCCAATCATTATCCTCAGTGACTGATTTAATTTAAGATGTAGTTTAGTAAAGGAGGAGGTCCTGTCTGGAAGTCTTAACTCAGGGTGAAGTTATGTTCCCCATTTCCTGAGC